CCCTACTTAGCCTAACTCCGTCTAACTTTGCCGTACTTTGGCTCCCGTTATCCCTACTTAGCCTAACTCCATCTAACTTCGCCGCACTTTGCCGTCCTTATGCTCCAGACCCCTGTATACCTTATTCTCCCGTTGTACTTCGCCGTAGTTGATCTCAGATGTCCTAGGTTACGTGTAGGGTGAAGAGGTTAAGACGTAATAGGGGTTTTGATGGTCAAAGGAGGGTTGTTTATGGTGGGATATTCGAGGTGTCACGTCGTAGTTTGTGACATCCTCCATGGTCTCAATCTCCTCCCTCCGAGAAAGCAAATCCTTCATAACTTTGTCCAGTCCATTAATAGCCTCAGCCACTAACATCTCCTCCTCACTCCATCCCAATATAGCAATATACGTTTGAAATTTAGCGAAGTACGCCAATGTCTTCCCTTGCTTCTGCTTCAGCTCCCTTAAACCCCTGATAGCCGTGCCCCTCTCATCTGGATCCCCAAAGTTCTTTTTCATCCACACCACGAATTCAGAACGGTTTGAAAGGAAAGGAGGAAGAGGAGTGGAGAGTCAATGAGGCTGCACCGCCAGCAGTGCAACCCCTCGTAAGAATCCTACCATCCACAACACACTCTGTTCCGCGCTCTCAAATCTATCACTCATCACACTCAACGCCAACAAACACTGAGTCAAGAACCCAGTAAGTTTCTCTCTCGACCCATCAAACTTGTCCGGGTCCTTCGGTTTTGGCGCTCGAGTCGACAAAGTTGTCGCCGACCCTTCTCTAGATCCCCGATTCCCTTGACGAAGCTCGTGCACTATCTCTGTCAAGGCTTCACTCTTCTGATTATCAGCACTCTTCAACTCTTTCAGGGCCCTCATCATTTCAACCAGCATCCCACTCCTAATATCCTCCTTAAACCTCTCCGGTGATTTTTCTCCTCTGGGTCGGGATGTATACGAACTTTGTCCACCAGTTGAGCCCCCATCTTCATCTCCCAATGTTCTTCTTTGGTCACCCCCTTCCACCCACGGGTCGTCTAAGTATGCGTCGGAAGGTGGTTCGGTGAGAAAAGACGACTCCCTAGAACCGTGAGGTTCTAGGTTACCTTGATTATCCCCCTGCTCGTTCCTCAACATTTCTTCAGCTGTTCTTCTCTCTCTCTCCTTTCCTCTAGTCCACATATAGCCTCCCACGAGTTACTGAAGAGTCGGTAAGGACGATCTCTGGTACTGTCACAAGGTTGGTTCTTCATTGACTTCTCAGGACCGACAGCCAATAACTTTGTGGGCTATGACCCTTAACAGGCTTGTTCTTCGTAGTATGAAGTGGTGAAACTAACTTCTGGGTCTAATAACTTCGTGCTCTACTAACTTCTATCACTAAGACAACAACCAGAGATCATCAAAGATCCCTGGGAACTTTGGCCCTTAAGTACTTTGTTCTTCCCTAACTTCGCCAACACAGAACTTGGGTCAGCCCGAATCCCTGAGCTTCGTACCTCGCGGACTTTGTCCCCGACAAAGTTTGTACCTCCCTAACTTTGTATCTCCCTGACTTTGTATCTCCCTAACTTTGTATCTCCCCAACTTCCTACATGACTAACTTCGTCACCTCCCAATACCCTTGTGGGTGGTGACGTTCATAAGAACGGGATCATTGATGGCAAGCTGATGTCCAAAGGAACTTCGTTTGATGGGAAAGGATAATGTCACGCGGTGCCGCGTGACAGTTACTGTAACTAGGGTTTTCACCGATGGCAATATATCTCAATTTGAATGTATGCAGGGTGGAGAATGGAGGTAAATGGAAGCACAAAGAACTGCGGCAAAGTGAGCGGAGAAGGAAAGCGGGGACACAGCGAGGTAAAGCAAAGTTGGACAAAGGAGGACTGAGAACGAGGCAGTGCAGGAGTTGAGGGATATCCTACAGGGAGAGCAGAGAAGTATAGATAGTTTACGGATTGCTGAGCTTCCTCAGCAATTGTAACGGTACTGGAAACACGATGACTAGGTCGCAGGTTGGGTCGAACTCGATGGATGTCTTGTAGAAGTCTAGGGTCTCTGGTGCTAATGGATCGTGTCTCCTCTGCAATCGATGTAGCCAAAGAATGATATTGAAGAATCAGCAAAGTTGGTACTTTGCTGATTGTACTATATACTGTCTACAGGTATCCGTCTCCTCTTCTTAGTCCTACTGCAAGCGTATATGTACATACTTGGACAGGTGAAAAACCGCTTTTGAGCAAACCCAGTGGGAAAATCTCGAAAAGGGAAAACCCGTCCCTACCTACTGCAGCACTGCCTCCAACTCCCGCTTTCCTCTGTCCTAATCGGTCAAACTCGATAGAGTCCTCTCGATTCGTTGTTACCCCGTAACAGCAATCCTTGATTGTTGTCAGTAGTGAGAGATATATTTGGTAGCTACAACCTTCTAGTCAGCGAAGGCTACCACACAGTAGTTCAACACACCGCGGCGAAGTCAGCCGCCATTCATTGACAATCACCTTATGGTTTACCACTTGGCACATTACTACGACGTAGTTAGCCGTAGTTCCCCGACGAGTGCCCTGTCTCAGTGAGACATTGACACCCCAGTACGATGTAGTTAGCCAACGTTTGTCAGCCATTGGTCGGTAGAGGAGAAGAATTGACGTTTGTGACAAAAGTTCAGGGATGTCACTGAAAGTTTCCACTGCTGGATGAACCGACATTGGTGCTGATAGCAGAGAGCAGAGGGGAACAGAGAAGGAGGTGGATGAAAGTCAGGAGGGGATGTTTGATGATGGGAAGAGGGGAAACCATATGAGCTCGATGGGATGAGGAGAGCTTGGAAGGTCAATCGCCAAGATAAGTAAGAGGGCTTGTTGACAAGAAGGGAGGGAGGGAGAAGAGCTTTGCCAGTCATGAGACTACTGCAGTGCGAGGACAAGTCGTGAGAGTGCTCTTGACCCAACTCGAGTGAACTGGATGGGACAAATTTGATCTGGTCAATGTCAATCAAGTAATTTGAGCTGAACTGCTTAGTCGGTTAAAGCATGGGTCTCATAACCGGTTGGAAATGACAATTAGATACATCTAAAGATGTTACTGAAGTGAAAAGTTTCAATGGTACAGAGGTGTTATGATGTGACAATACTCTACTTTTAACACTGAGGACCCAGTGGGAACGAGTAGCTACCCCGACGATCAACCTTGTGATGCTGTTAGAGATAGACGTATTACACTATGGCGTAGTGATCGGTAATTCCCCAACAAGTACCCTGTCTCTGTGAGATATTGACACCCTAGTACAACTAAGTTTCAACAAGGTTTGTTGATTGGCTTTGCCTTGCTGAGAAGTTGAGGAAATGATGTTTCATGCCAGCGAGCCACATCTCTATCCCCCCCCCCCCCCCCCCCCCCTTCCCACACCCAATTTCCTTTCCTTCCTCCTCCTCTATCTTTTCCACTCTATATTTATTACCTGCTGATTTGCCCACTAGAGTTGAACAGAGGAATTTGATGATGATTGGTTTTGCCGACTAGAGCTTGGACCATAGATGAACTTGTCTTAGTTGAATGAACAAACTTTGTTAATGGTTCATACCTGTATCTTCTAAGGTAACAGAGATGCAGCATGGAAAAGATGGACATTGTAAAATCACAGCCAAATTACTAAGGAAAGTGTGTTCCATCTGCCACCGCACCCCACTGTGTCAATCAGTAGTTTGCTGTGGGATCTCGTAAACCCCTTTTCTCTTCCTCTTTCCAGCACCTCTCACGAGTTGGATCGATTTGATCTTCATGCATCCACGCATCCCGTCACCCTCTCACAAGTCGGGTTCATCCAGTGATATATTCCAGGGGTGTCATTTGTCGTGACCATTTCATGTTACATTGGGTGCGATTTTTTGACTTGATTGACGGTCTGGGCTTTGGTGTCCAAGATCATTCCGATAAGATTTAGTATGCTGGTAGTCTTGATACGAGAAGGGTTGGGGTTTTGTTCTTTTGATCCACTCGGCTTACAAATACTCCAAACTCTAGAATTAGTGATTCGAGAGGAGGTAGGGAACAGTGACCTGAACTCTTCAGTAAGTACTCAGATCTGTTGTCTTTTGTTTTGTTCCACACTGTGTGACAGAGGTGGAGAATAACGATAATCTTCATGGAATAGGATTGGAGATTTGGGGATTGGGTTCGGGATCGGGGGGTTAATTCAATCAGAATCGATACCCACCCCTGACATGCACATACAACTCTCATTGACCTCGATCTCGCCAAAGTCAATACAGTAAGTACCCTAAAATAGTGACGAGAAATTACAGGGTTAACAAAAGGGTCAAGTGGTGATTGACATCTCATGTGGAGTACTCTACACACAAGCTCGATTTTCCATTTGTTAGTCTGTGGGGATAGATCTCACCCTGGAGAGACCTGGGAAGCGATCCGAGAAGGGGTCACGAGATGTCAACTGGCACCTGGCCCTTCTTCGTGATTGGATTCACTATAAGACTGGAATTTGGACTTGAATGAATGGATAGATTGATGAATGAATAAATTGACTTGATCAACATTATTTACATACGTTTAGACGATTACGTTTAGAACCGGACGAGTCGTATTGTCATTTTGAAAGATTGTATTTTACGTTTCAGACTATTACGGTCGTATTGACAATTTGCGATTCTGAATCCCCTGTGCACGATATTTCACACGATTAACCCTAAGCTTGACCCTTTAGCCCACTGCTTCATACACGAATGAAACTGACCTTTGACCCTTGTAGCCCACTGCTTCATTCAGACTGTTGACGTGTGTGTGTGTGTGTGTGTGTGTGATCTTTTCCGAGTTTTCTCTTCGCCCTCATCCCCACCCTCGACTTCCTACTCCATCTTGATATCGTATTATGCGATAATTCCATCCCATCCCCTCCCGAATATCCAACCCCACAAATCTCCAACCTCACCCTCGACACACCCAACTCACTTGATCCTCACGTCGGATTGTCTGATTGGCTCCGTCCCTCATCCTCAAACCGTCGGGTCGTCCGATCCGCTCCGTCCCGATCTCGAACCCAAAGCCCGTGGGGCCGACCTTTCCTTGATCAACATGGGCAAGATGAGCTTTCGGGGACCATCACGATTCGTCGTCATGTGATGGCGAAGAGGGACACGGTGGGGTTGTAGTTGCGGTTGGGGTTGTTCGGCTATGAGTATACGGTCGGTAGTTGCAGTTGTGATTTGGTCGAATTGTGCTGAGAGAGCTATAGGGTCGGTGATTACGACTTTGTCAAGTTGTTCAGGCCCTGAGGAATCGACCGGTCCAAGGTCCGACTGAACGGGTGTGGTAACGCCAGTTGGAACCGAGCTAGGATGTTTGATCACAGAGCGTGCAGTAAATTGTTGGGTATTAGGATTTTCGAATGACAAGTTGTTGATCTTCTCATTGACGTGAGGATTCGAATCAGAGGGTTCAGGAATGTTGGAAAGTTGATCAGAGACCGAATGAATTTGATCATTTTGTTGTTTGAGATTTTTTAGAAATCCATTTGACGGTCGTCCATCCACACCATTACCAATCTCTTTCATGTCTTGTTTCCCCATTACTGCGTTCACAGATCCTCTCATGTATTGTTTCCCCGAGATTACTTTATTCACAGACCTTGCCGTGTATCGTCTCCCCGAGATGACAGTATCCACAGGTCGTCCATCATCACCAACGGGTCTACCAATGTCACTACCACCACTACCACGTTGAGGGTCTAGCTCCGAGGCCGAGATGGGTGTTTGAACCGAGCGTCCGAGTGTGACTGTCGGAAGAGAAATTGATCTTGTGGGTCGGGTAAAGGTGAGTTTGTTTTTCATCCCACCACTGGTTTGATTCGAGTCGATGATTTCTGGTCCGAGGATGGATCGTGTGACATGCGTGCCAGCGTTTGGACCAAGGACGTCTGAGTCCATGTTTCCAACATGGTCCCGTGGGATAGGTACATGATAGGTATCGTGAATGACACGATCATGATCACTGTCGTCGATAACACGATCATGATCACTGTCGTCGATGACACGATCCCGTTCGACGGGTGGATGTTGTCCCCTAGCACGATTCCCCTTCTGACGATGTTGATTTCGTTTGGGTAAGACCAAGGGTAAGACGGTCTGATCTTGTTCTTCTGCCCAAGGGTGGAGTCTGAGTGGACTCATTGTTATTTCCGGTAAGACCATGCGAGGGGGAGGTGTTCGGTGGATGAGCCTTGAGATCCGCACAGAGGAGAGTAACGTGTCGGTTGATGGGATTGGTGGTAGAGTGGGTGTACGTGGGCGTGGAGAGGTTTGCGAGAGGGAAAGAGGTGAGTGAATGTCGGATTGAAGAGGGGTTTGCGAGAGGGAAAGAGGTGAGTGAATGTCGGATTGAAGAGGGGTCTCCAAGAGGGAATGAGATGGGTGAATGTGGGACGAATGATGACGACTGTTCTGTTGGATCGGGGTTGTGGGTAAAGTGGGATTCGACTCAAGATCCGAGTTTGAGTCATTGTGAAGAATGAAAGAATCGTCATTGTCATGACCTGGTGGTGAGTTGATTGATCGTTCGTTCTAGAGAGCGTCACTGACCCAAAGAAGAAGCAGCCATATCCTCCACTGTGGGCATAGGTCTCCCTGATGCTTGGTCATTACTGTACGAAGCGAGGGATATGAGAGAAGGCTCGTCGTCATTGTCCAACCACGCGTCACCACCTCGCTTCCAGTGCGATTTGTACCATTTCGTCGATCTCATCTTGCACCAGAACAAATTTGATTTCGACAGGGAGGGAGGGAGGAGAGGGGGGGGGAGAGTGACGTGGCGTTTCGTGTTCCCCTGGGAGTGACGTGGGAGTGACGTGGGAGTGACGTGGGAGTGACGTGGGAGTGACGTGGGAGTGACGTGGAGAGTGACGTGGGGTTCTCATGAAGAGTGACGTGGGGTTCCCGTGGGAGTGACGTGGGATTCCCGTGGGAGTGACGTGGGGTTCCCGTGGACAGTGCTCATGAAAATTGACGTACGTGACAAGTGGTTCCCAACAAGAATGCCACGTCATTCCACGCCTCTCTCACTCCACGCCTCTCTCATCCCACGCCTCTCTCATCCCCACCCTACCACCACTTGCTCTCCGACAAACATGTACCCCTACCAACGTGCGCAAAGTTGGATAGTATCTTCCGAGAGGTTGACGACTGTGGCTGAGGCGTGCGCTCTTGTCACCGTCAGATCCACCTCGCTCGCTTCCTTTGATGTCGACCGGATGGCTGGCGGTGAGGGGGCAGAGGGGGCAGAGGGGGCAGAGGGGGCAGAGGGGGCAGAGGGAACTGATGGCGGTGACGACGGTGATGGCGACGGTGGTCAAGTAAAGGTAACGTCTGTCAATGGGCACGTCTATCACCTCACTCCTCCGCTACCTTTGTACCGATGACCGCTGACCATCAGCTGGCGTGTCGTCCGCCGTCATCCTCCCTCACGCTCTTGTCAAACTGAATTCCTCGTGTCTCTCAACAACCGTCGTCCGGTGTGGTGAGTGTCTCATCTTTCTTCTCTTTTTCTACCACTACCATCGTGTAACCCTGTCTGTCTCTGTCTGTGTGTGTGTGTGTGTCTCTCTGCCTCTCTGTGTCTCTTTCTCTCTCTCTGCCCCCCCCCCTCTCTCCTCACACTGTCGACGACTCACTCTGCCATCCGTCACCCACTCTCCTCACACGGTCACTTACCACGCCACCTACACCACCCCCGCTGACTTGCAGGAAACCAATCTCTTTCCCTCCTCTGATCCAAGCGTCCAAAGCTGTCGACCTGTTCCTCCGTCACGCGCCGATGACGGAACATCGTTGGGATAAAGTGGAAAACTCTGCACCGCAAAGGAAAAGGAAGAGAGAGCGTGAGGACGATGCGGTTAGGGGAGGAGGAGAAAAGATTACAAAGTCGCTCGACGGTCGATCTGATCCGGACAAGGTGTAGGAGGGTTGAAGAGTGTTCGAGGATATGAAGACGTAGTGAGCCATCTATGTGAATTATCGTGATCATGTACATCCTTTTGATACATGCCCAACCAACTTTGAAATCTTTCCCCAAGTCTACTTTCCCTCTCCAAGATTTTCTTATTCTTATTGTTTGTCATTTTGACCGTTCTTTCGTTGTCACCGAAATTAATTCCGGATCCAAACACTCGCAAGCTAACGTTCTTTTCCTCTATCCTATCTGACCGTCCAGCCTTGATCATGGAGATTCAAAAGCCCCAGCAAGCGGAAAGAGTCTTAAATTTACAGTGAGAGAGTGACTCTTCCATCTCTTTGATGTGGATGGCCTGACAGGCTGGCAAAACTTTCCCACTCGCTCCGTCACTGTCAAAACGTGAGTTTCCCTGTCGTATACGCCATACCACGTTGTACGGATACGCCAATCTTATTACTTTGTACGCTGAAGCTAATTTTACCACTTAGTACGCTAAAGCCAATCTTACCACTTAGTACGCTCAAGCCATCCGAACACTGGATAAATTGACCCGCTCGCTAACGGTATCACAACCACCTCGCCAACTTTTTCCGCGCCAGCCCACACACAGTCTGACGCAGTTATCACCCTGTTCAGTCGAGGTCGCTGAATCCTCGTCTTCTCCAACAAAGTTTCGATTCGAAATTCAAGAATCGTTTTCCTCGCGGATTGTGGTCGATACTTTTTCCTTCCTTCCTTAGATTCTCGAAATCAACAAACAAGATCTCAAGATCCAAACAAACATGCCTGTATTCTATAATCACTCTCGTGAGTCTTCCAAAAAGCGACCGAGTGTTAACTCATCGACCAGACCCACCCCTCTCCGGCCTGATTGAACAAACAGCTCGGAGACCCTACGTTAAAATCCCCAAAGGATCAATATTGGAACACTCGGCCCGGTCAGTCGAAATATGCCCCACACGCACGCCTAAAAGTGTCGACCTGTCGGAAGAAGAATGGTCAGAGGGGTTTGAAAATCTTTCTTAGGAGAAAGTTTGAAAAAGTACAAGAGAAAGACACTATCATCACCCCCTCTTTTATCACCTGGAGTGTATAGGATTGAGAAGACTTGGGCCACCACCTTGAACTCTATCGCTTCCTTGGTTCATCCCGTCCCTCCACCCGAACCGACACCTCTTCCATCTTCATACCGTCGTTCCGAACAGACACCATGGTCCAAGAACCCACGGAAAGCCCCGGTCATCGGCCAAGGCCCTGGCGAAGAGATTTAGAATATGAGAGGCAAACGACGACGTTAGAGGACTCGAGGTGGAGAGTTGTAATTTTGACGGAGATGATCAGATATGATATATATATCCCATCTGTCAATGTGACGGATTCTGTTTCCCTCTCATTGACCACCCAAACATCTCAACCTAACCCTAACAAGTCATTTTGACTACTCTAGATTCCGCACTCATCAGATTAACCTCATCATGATCATCAATGTACCAAGGAAGCGAACCTACTGCTTGGTCTCGGATGAGTCCTGGGGACTACTGACAAGGAGGGGATTTTGTGTTTCCCTAAGCACTGTGCGGGTTCTGATCGAGGAGGCTTGGGATATGATACGGGGCACAACGGGCTTGACACGGTTACTTTATCCCTTGGCACAAGTACTCCAAAGTCTTTACGTTGCGTAGGTCACAAGCTTTAGTGCTAACTCGGATGTATAGGTTCTACATCTCAAACAAGGGGTACTACCACTTGCTGATAGCGACTGGTATCTAGAATATTCTGTACAACGGATATGAGCGTGCGATGATTTGATATTGTCGATGATTTGATACTGTCAATAATTTTGATACTCTCGATGATTTGATATTGTCGATAATTGGGAGAGGGAAGATGGAAAACACTGGGAATAGTTTGATACTTTTCTAAAATAGTGTCGGAAGATAGGGATAATCGATAATTTCTAGGGATAAAGTGGGATAGGAAGATGGATCGGACGGAAAACGGAACATGGGATCGATAATCATGTTTCCGTGAGTATAGGTATGTGGAAGCATTGTCACAACTCACTTGAATAACCCGTAACTCGAGTGTGTTGGATAAATCTAACTAACGGAAATGGCCACGTCCAATATAGTTTGAGACAGATGTTTGGGTTCTGGAAGGGAAAGGTGAGGGAGATCATCATCATTTGTTTGAATCCATAGTGAGAAGTTTCCCCGGAAGTAAGGAGCGGTCGGAATGGTGTTGGATCCAGTGTTGAGACCGCCAGTGTTGATCCCAATGTTCATTCCACTATTATATCCTGTTACGCCGGCATTGATTCCCAGTGTTCATTCCACTGGTATCTCAACTCTTTATAGTTGATCGGATCATACCTAGAGGTAGAAGTTTGTCCAGTCAAACCCGTCCGTGTTGAACTTGGTCGGGAGTAAAAAGGTGGTTTCCTTCGAGTCGAGTGGCTGAGCCGGAACATACAGTGTGGTCGGGACATACGGTTTTGGTAGGCGGCTTGAGAGACGAGTTTGAAAAGAGACTTGAAAAAAAGGCAGGGTGACAAAATACCCAGAACTTGAGTTTGTTGAGTTGGGTCCAAGTCTAAGACTGATATTCTTCATGTTCTTGTCAACTCGGAGATCTTTAGTCTCATCAATAGGTTGAAATTTTCTTACAAACTGGACCCCTAGGGTGAATGTAGCAGGTACCGTTTTATCCGCCGTACGGGTTATCAAGTACTATTTGTAAGCTAGGTATCAGAGTGAAAGAATGAAAATTTGATGAGATATGAAACTCTAGCTCACCTAACACTTTCATCACGCCTTGCAAACATGGGTCAAGAGCACGACTCATCTTCGCTGCTCACACAGCTCAGCTTGTCTACTCGCCACTTGACCAATTGATCTTTGTCTTTCTGACATGTTCCCAAATTTGTCTGGCGATATCGTATGTGCCTCAACAGAGCCGCTTGTTCACTGTATCTTGGTGAACAGTCTCAGGAGTTAGACGGCATTATCCATCTAGAGGGTCAACTTGGTGTCTTTTTCTACCCACTTCAGGTTCGAGGAAGGGGATGTGTGCAGCTTGGAAGCGGAGCTTACGAGACATTCATTGCTTGAACCAATTCCAAACTCCCAACCTTTCCGCTTGATTGTTGAAAAATCAAAAGTCACCTCTACTCCCTTCTTTCCATTCTTCATCCAAGTCGTGACTCCAATTATCCAATATCTGTAATCGACATCAAAGGTGTTTCAAGTCCATATTTCGACGCACCCCAATCGCAAGGTTAGCAGAACAGAAGGTATACCTGCCGATCAGTGCTGATTGACCGATCAACAAGTTGAGCCGTTGTTAGAATTGGCGGGGCAACTACTACTTGGAACAGAGCGAATGATGAAAGGCTTGAAGTCCATTTTTTTCGGCCGCTTGATCCAAGAGCACCGTTTCCCCTTTCGCAAGTCTTGTACGCCCTCTCAGCCAGTAGTTGCATTCCGGGGTTTTGGTCCGTCAAATGGGGTATCAATCAGCTGGGTATTTATCGTACTGAGAGTTGTTCTTGTTGCCTACGGACACACGCCGTACGATTGTCAGATTTACCTATTCCATCAGTGACTTCCTAAGCTTATTGAAAGGATTTGAGGGATTGATCGTGGAAACCTTGCGAGATGGATTCAAACCCCACATAGGTGTCATTCGGTCATGGAGCGAGGTGACGAACGGCTCATAAGAAACATGTGATCGAAGTGCAGGAAACGAGGTACCTACGATAAATCCGGTCTCTCACTAAACGCACTCCACAGACCTCTTTCAACAAGATACGTATTCCTTTTGCCAGAGCCATGGAAGCAGTTTGGCATCGCCCGCTTTTTTCACGATCAAAAATGAAAGAATGTTGGTTTGAATGATGACGGAAAAGTTGATTCGAAACATGTCCTTTTGTAGTGACGCAAGAGCTCTCTTTGTCCAACTTTTGCATCACCCTCCCCTGCGCGCCTCAGACTCGTCCGCAAATCGCCGTTTGAACAGCCTAATGTTCGTCGGTGAAAATGGGAATCATCCCAGTGAAATCATTTCAAGATCTGGCCGCGTGGGCAACATTCGAAGATGAGGTCACGGCGGTAAGTACAGGTGAAAAAAACATGAGATCAGCGAGCTTTCGAGTAAGTGAAAGCTAATCATCACAGAAGCGATGTTACGCCAATGCTTCTCTTGTCATGATCTCAGTCCGAGTTGGGATTTCTTGATGTGAAGATAGATCATCAGTCCCGCCCTGGATAGTCAGCGTTCTCTGCAAGTAAGTATGATTTTCCCATCCAGCCACTATCTCCCTTAGACCTCATTATAAACAACATCTCATCCTTGATAACCTCATTATAACCAAACATCTCATCCTTGATATTTCAGCACTTCTGACGACGATAACACGGTCCTGATAAAATAACGATTGAAAAAAAAAAAAAAAAAAAGCTCCGGGAAGAGAGCGGCAGGGAACCCATCCCACAACACGACCCTGAGAATCATCCCCACGGAGAGTACCCATTGATTATTCTGCAAGAAATCACACCATCAGACATCGGAGACGATTAGAATAGACATTCACAATATGATGATTCTTCTCGTTTTTGGGGAGAAAGAAAGCAAGCGACCCACGTACGTTGAATCCGTACAAGGGTACGTTGAGAAATCACGCGAAAGCGTCCTTGATCTGTTTGATCAGAGCCACTCCTCATGTTCATTTGGAAGATCACAACGAGACTTTCATCCACTGAAACACGTACGATGATACCCCAACATTCAAAGAACAGATGCATGAACGAGGAAGAGCAAAAAAGATCAACGACGTCCTAGTCTTGCAGCTTTCAAAGCTGACAGGCCGACAAGTCTGTCAAGTGGACAAAAGGAGACAAAAAAGCAAAAACCCACCATTACAAGTCCCTCAAGATGGGTGAGTTACCCCATCGGTGATATCACCCATCTTGATTGAGGAGGGATTTGATAGATGATCAACTAAGCAAGTCTTGTACTTGCAAAAGACATCATATAGGTAGTGGCTCTACTCGCTCCATGATTCATCCCTAGGGAGACTCTACTCGCTCCATGATTCATCCCTAGGGAGACTCTACTCGCTCCATGTCTCATCCCTAGGGAGACTCTAATCGCTCCATGTCTCATCCCTAGGGAGACTCTACTCGCTCCATGTCTCATCCCTAGGGAGACTTTACTCGCTCCATGTCTCATCCCGAGGGAAAGGTTTGAACAACGTTCCGATAAAACCGATTGGAGAGAACTGGAATCAACTTTCGAGATGGATTCTTGTTGGAAGAGTTACAAGTGAGATGTGATACACGATAAAGATGATGTTTGAGGGGAGGAGGGGAGGGGGTCGGGAGTCACGTGATCTTAATGACGCAGTGTGGCACTTTGGATTCGAAGTCTATTGACTGAACTCGGTTTCAAGCAAGTTACAACACGACTTAATTGCGATAACCAAAGTGCAATACCACTCGCACACAGTCCTGGTATGCATGCTCGATTGAAGCATATAGATAGACGGAAATTGTCAATATCAGGATGCCAACATCTCACAACTCGATAAAAAGAACAATATCAAGGAGGCCGAGATGAGTACACGTTTGGTGCAGGCCATGTTTGCTTCTGCTAAGATGATCCAGGAGGCAAACCCACATCAAACCTGGTATGAGTGCAAACTTGAAGCAGCGATAGCATTAGGTCTTCCCCCTTCAACTGCCGGATCTCGACCATCTCCTGAATGTGAAAATTAGTAACACCCAAGTTTGAAGAATCCATTACTTGTGTACAATGATGCATACATTCAAAAGTTGTACTCATCGATCTCATATTCCAGCATCTCTTCCACCAGACGCTCCCTCCTAATGTAATCCTCTTTGAGTCCGGCATATCCCCTCTGGCCAACTAGAAGTCGGTTCTTCTCCCTTTGCTCAGTCCCTCTCTGTCTTTGTAAATCCTCATTACTAACATAGTCCGTTGCTGCTGAAACAGTGAGATTATGAAGGATGAAAGCCGCTTGTATCATTCCATACACTCGTGCTTCATCCTCCTTGGCCTTAACACGCATCTTTGCTCCCCTCAAGAATTGTCAACGGCCTTTCAAGATACCAAAAGCATGTTCAATCGTCACACGAGCGGTTGCACAATTGTCATTGAAGTACAACTGTTCATCAGCGGTCAGACAGATAGCCAGAATGATCTTACTCGTCTCCCTGGCAGATCATGTTCCCCTGAAGCACGTTTGTACATTGGAATAATGACAGTGGTACATCAAAAACCAGAATCGCCTAAGAGATATTCCCCATCCTGAAAGAATTCATCAGGAGAAACCTGAAGCCGCATTGAAGCTTGAAGTCGGATATCCGAAGCTCTTGCAGAGAATGCCCAGTGTACAAACGTAAAGCGCTTCTGATGGTCACAGACAGCAAGGATGTTGAAGCCATGTCTCTCCTTTCGGCCGTGATATGCACCAGAGGCAGGCCCTTGACTTGGTGATCGGTCTAAATTGACATGTGTGCCGTCAATAAATCCAAGGCATTCTGGGATCCCAAAATCATCAAGAATACACCCTTTGATACCATCCCTACGGCTCAGACCTGGCCATTTGATGTATTTCCCAATGTCCTCTAAGATAGCAATTAGACTGCGAGTTGTCCAAAGCGCTACGGTCCCCCCAAGCTGTCAGTTTAGTAGATGTGTGAGACATAAGCAACTCACTTGATACTCCAAAGACTCGTGCTATAGTGGTTATGCAGTGACCATGAGCCAATTTATACACCAACATCCTGAGCTGATATCGAGGGGGAGCTTGTGGTTTGGGTGCTGTGGAATGGAATACAGAATGTCTGCCAAAGAGAGTACATAGCCGATCTAGCTCAAGAGGTGACATCCGAAACGTATGGTTGTGGTTATGCTCCTTTGACAGATCAAATTCAGCGCAGATTGACCTAAGATGAGTGGGTGGAATGGACTTGCGGTATGAGGTAAGAGCTATGTAGTGACGGTTCTCTGTGGAGTTGCGCAGATCTAGAAGAGCAAAAATGAGGTTGCGATATCGGCGGATAGGGGATAGTGGTAGTAGAAGATCAAACGTGAGGTCAATCTCTTTCAAGAATACCTCCTTCAGGTGTGTTTTGGGCATGGTAAGAATAACATCGAGAACGTCTAGCCAAGGAAATGAAAGAAATGAAAGAAGTCTTCATGAAATGAGTGTAGTAGTTGTGGGAGACGGAAACGTCTGTTTGACTGTTGCTCATTCAGCACTTTCCTATGAGTGATGAACAGACAACAGGTACTGATCTCGCTATGTACTACTACCGGCGGAGTTTACCACCTTTGTATTGACACGTGATTGTACTACCTACCTCCCACACTACAGAGTCAAAGTGTACGTGCCTAAGGACTAGAATTCTGTCTGTGGGTGACACACGATGGAAGATGGGACAAGTCACAGGGAGAATTGTTCCGAACGCGTGCGCGCGGAAGGGTGTCAATTATCCACCAGGCAGACATTGCCTACGCTAACTATAATTGACATCCGCTACGCTTCCATTCCCTCAAACCTTTGATGAATCATCCAAGACATGCCAGCTTTTGACCGTGTTGTACAGTAGACGGAGTGTAGACTGAGTCGATCTTGCGCTCTTGTGAATTCAAACTTGACCAACGTCTCTATCAACTTTGGCCTGATCGCAGAGGGTAGACGATGACACAGGTCGACATTGGGGTTGGTATCGTCGTCGCCATCGTCATCATCATCGTCATGTTCCGAGTCGCGTATCGTTCTCACGGCGAGCTCGAGCTGTTGACGGTTCAAAGGGGATAAGGTTAATGGTGCCATATTCCATCTACGTATCACGTCGGAGAAGGTTGTTGACATGGTGAGGGACATGCTGCCGTTGTATGAGTACTACTACTAGCTACTGCTACTGCTACTACTACCCCTGCTACTACCCCTGCTCCTACTACTACCCCTACTCCTACTCCTACGACAAGGTTGGGAAGGGGTGCAGGAATGGATCATGAGGTGGCATCTTTGACCGTGGGTCAAATATCTTTCCTTCCGATAGCGGTCGAGAATGACACACCACAGTTCCGAGTCTGCACGATCTTACACCCTGCTCGAGTAGTATCCGACAAGTTGACAAGTTGAACGAGATGGTTGCTAATGTGAGCGACTGACTTTCAGGATCAGTCTCAACTCGTTCGTCGACACAGCACCCCTAGGTTGGTACCAACATAACACACTCGGCCGTTGATCATACCTCAAAAGCTGAGATCAAGTCGATTTGGGGTCAGTCTTGTCAACCTTCATCTCATTGTATGGTTGTCGTAAATCAATCTTCACCTTACTCGTTGATTATTCAACCCTTTTCTATCCCGATTCTCTTGCCTAATCCTATCACCTCTGACGTTAACTTGATCAACTCTGACGTGCCCCATCAACTCTAACGTCCCCCATCAACTCTAACGTCAAACTTCCAACTCTGACACCGACCCACTCATCGCCAAAACGAAAAGATCCAACTAGAATCTCCCGACAATCCATCGCGTTCAAACGGAGACTAAAAGCGATGGGCAAACCAGTCGTTTCAGTCGCACTGAATTGGCCACATGAGAACCCAGTCGTCAGCTCTGAGGCGAGTAAAACCTTGCCAGTCGAATCGAGTGGAAAAGGATTATAAGCACGGGGGGAGGATAGACAAAATGTCAAGTGAGTCAACTTGTAATCACCATGTCTACTGTCTACTGTCCACACGTTTTCCCTTTCATCTGCTCCGATCTTGTTCATACATGTACATTCTTAACAGTTGTTCATCATTACATATGTTTACCAGCTGACATCCATCCTTATCCACGTCCACCACCCTTCCCTCACCATGTCCACGTCCATCTCCATCCCGCCTCCATCCCCTCTGCACTCACTCTCCCACACGGTCGCTATCCCTATCCCATTCCTGTCTCATCCTTCACTACCCTGACCTCCGATCTTTCCATTTGGTCACGTACGAAACTTGGTAGAAAGTATCCTCCCCTCCCAGAATGGCGCTTTAATTCTTGGTCCGCGTTACATTCTCAAGCATCATCCCATTCATCCACAAAGATCCATGATGATAATAATTACTTTCTCCTGAACAACTGAATAATCCCACATCCCCTTAACGACAACATCTTTCTCACACAACTACTGATCCCATCATGTCATTCTGCTACAGCAAACAGCCGACAAAATCCACTGTTAAGTGATCATAAATATACATTATCATCTTCTTCTTCCATTACCAACCACCTCCAGAATTCTTCGACCAGCGACGACTCAACAACTCCTACTGAATTCACCATATCCTTCAACGATTGATCCCTCTGACACCCCCCAATGTCATACAGTTCGAATCATCCAGCAAAATGCAACATCTCTCCGATATCATCATGGTTATCATCACATTTACGTATCAGCAAGAGGATATCGACAATACACTCGGACGTGCCTCATCGAATAGGAGGTTGGAATGTTTAGAGCGACAGGGACAGTCGGACAAATTACGTGGATGGGAAAGAGGCAACTTGGGAAGAGCTCGATTCAACCGGAATGTAGATGGACCGTTTGGACACAGGTCGGATGGAGGAGCTTGAACACGGAATGAAAGGAGAAGAGATATGTTTAATAAAAGGAAGAAAAGAGGATAGGGGTTAAGAAAGAGGAAGAGGAATGGTCTGATAATCTGTCAAAATGTGGGATGAATGTGAGTGGTTTCTTGCCTTCTAGAGTCTACTGGTCATTGTTTTCATTCTTAAATGTCCATTTTTCACTCCCTGCTCTTCACTTGTTATTGTGTACACTTTGCTAGCTGGACGATTAGCACGCTTCTCACTTCCCCCTCAGTTCCCTTCTGCCGGTCGCTGCTGCTGCACTGTATCAAAGCTCAATGACTGCCTCAGTGAAGACTTTGCCAATTCGGACAGTTCACTCACAGGTGAAAAGCTGTTGGCGGCCTAATCACTTGTGATTCGTCTCTTACTCCTCACTGACCAGTTTTCTCCGGTCACTGCTTTCACCCCGCTTCTACTCCTTGACTGGTCAGCAGGTTCAATCAAAGAGTGGAGTCGTCGTTGTGAAATTATTGGCAAAACCGTCGTAAAAGACTAACTCCAGATGATCCAAAGGCTGAATGAAAAAGCTTTTCCCACTGCTCAAGCTGTCCTCATTACCAAGACTGCTACGGACGTCCACACCTTCCGGACCTATCAGACGTTTCGAGCTTTCGAGAACTTGCACGCCTTGCCACTTCTACAGGCCGTTGAGAACCGAGAGAATGTTTGTGTCCGGAAGACCGTCAATGTCGATGTCGGAGCTGTTCAGATGGTTTGGTGTGCAGAAACTGGAAGAGTTGCAGAAGAGATCAAAGGTGTTCGAAAGACCGGAGGAATCGGGCAGGCAGGCGTTCAAGTCGGAGGGCCGGAGCGGTGGGAAAGGGGTGAGAGGATGTACGCTGGAAAGGCTGGGGAGGTTGGAGAAGCGTAAAGGGAAAGGGGATTAGAGGGTAGATGTAAAATGGTCAGTAGAACAGAAAAATATTGTATATCATTCTTTCTTCCCCTTCTTTCTACTTCCTCCCGGGTCATACGTCTTTTCCTTTCTACTCGTTTCCTCTGGGGTGTCATTACCCAACTGTCCCCCCTTACCTTACTTTGCTCCTTTTTTCTGCCGGTCTCAAATGACTCTCCTCCTTGTCTTGTGTGGAGTCAAACGTATACTCCTGTTCTGTTGTGTGGATTTCCCTTCTCTCGTGCAACTTCACCTGCTCTCGTGACTGAAATAGCTCTTCTCATTCTCTGCAGAATCAATATGCAATGGTTGTGTATGACCTGATGCCATATCTATCACTCTAACTAGCATTGTAACTCCTCGGTCTCCAATTTATCCTTTGCGTTCGAGTCTTTTCTCCCAAACACATACAACACAACCTCATTTCTCCTCTTTTATCTCAAAGATCCATTCTCAATCCTCTCTGCAGAGCCTTCCATTGAACATTCCATTCCGCCCCCAGGATATGTTCAAGATTTTTTGGACATTGAGAACACGTGCATCCGCATGGCTTCCGTCTTCTTATTTCCGGAGACATGGCCTGAAAACGCAAGAAACAACACTAACTTTACTTTATGAAGAGAATCATCTACCGCTGACTTGACTATTCCTACCGAAGTGACATACTGTTGACGCTTGTAACGCTTGTTAGTGAGAAGGATGTACCTAGATGATATGGAATGCTCTAGTCTTGCTTGACCGTTTGTTTGAAAATTGAAGTCCACGTCCATGTCGATACGGACTGACCATAGGGGAGATCTTTCAGACTGTGGTTAGCAAGACATAGATAAAGGAGAGGGTTTGAAGTTGATTTGATATTCTCGAGATGACGAAAGAGATCAGAATCACCAAGGAGACAGAGGCAGGAGAGACAGGTCGATGCTCAGGTCAAGGAGACAGTGCAAGTTCAAAGGAAGAAGAGGGGCAGAACGAGGACTCCACGTCCACCCAGGTCACACTGTGGGAGCGAAGAGAGAATTGAGGATAGAGGTGCTCCCCTCGGATGTAAGACGCGATCGATCGATAACCGAAAAATTACGCTTGTCCTCTTTCCTCCTGCCGTGTTACGGTCGTAATTAAGCCCTTATTACGTATCGTAATATCGACCCTTAATAACAAGTTAACAACACTGCCCTCACCAGTGTCACGAATCATATCGTAACATCCTCGTCGGTAGACGACAGATGGACGTTGAGATGAGTAAGATGGACGCTTTGCAGAGGCAACATTTCGCTAAGGTGGGTTGTTTCCTCTTCCATTTCAATCACTTTATCACTTCGCTTTTCGCTCTACTCTACGCTTTACACTTTACACTTTACACTTTCCTTTCCCGCACTTCTGTCTCATTATCAGTTTACACTTTCCATCATCTCGTTTCCTCTATTGCCATCCCCGACCCACACCGAGCCCCGGGACGCACCCCTGAAGAGACACGGACAGCTGAAAGATGACAGACCGCGAACAGACGTCGTCGCACGGCGGGACAAGTCATGGTTCCCGGCGTGACCACTGCTGTTCTTGACACAACACCTTCCGATTCGGCCTCCCTTTCTGTCGACACCCCCTTCCGATTCGGCCTCCCTTTCTATCGACACCCCGTCTCCGGTTCTTTTGTGCTCGTATCCTCTCAGTTCTATCCCAACGCCAGCGTCAACTCGCTCGTCGAGGTCTCATCGCCGACAGTGCGCCTCCTCACTCGCTCGGTCACCAGAGGGGCCATCGCGTCATCATCTCGCTCGTCGAGGTCTGGTCCCCGGAGGTGCGCCTCACTACTCGCTCGGTCACCAGAGGGGCTATCATCATTGCTGAAGCCCCGTTCTTTGGAACTGGGGATGAATTGGACAAAGTGGAGGAGATGAGAAAGAGAGGTGTGGATCTCAGCTTTGAGCTTGAAGCGGACGAGGTGTGAAGTGCAAACGACCTCAGCCTCGATCACTCACACAAAGAGAGACAGGGAGAGCTTATATAGTCGGTTATATACTCCATGATAATCATGACATGTCGATATACTGATCTTCATCAATGTTAGTGTGTCATACATAGAATTGAAAATGATCAATGACAGAGTAAGAAGTGCCGCCCTCGTCGAACTGCTACACCACGAACTATGAAACACTTGTTATGAAGATGCGATTATGACGGCTCAACACTAGACAGGACGCCCGCTTCGCGGGCTTGCCACTCAATGTGAATGCGACTAAACCCCATGCATGTCATCTCACAACGTCAAAGCATCCTTGGACCTCAATGGTTTAAAGGCTGGTGGACTGTTTAATCAGCTAGGACTAGGAAAAACTTCCGACTGGATTGCACAATTCTCCGGTCCCGGTCGATCTTTTCTCACACGATACAGTATTACTTATACGAAGTGATCAGCGTTCCGGCCTTTGCTTCAAGCGACACCATTAACTTAGTGTGATCCGGCTGGGATCACGATCTCTGGCCTCTGGCCTCTGGATCTACGGTGGCCCGGTGGGTACTCTAGCCATCGGACATGGTGGCATCATGGTCACACATGCGTCATTGCCTCACTTTTCTTGGTAGTTTGGATTGGAGTTTCACTGATGACGTATCTCGGATGGAGTAATTACCCAGAGATCAGATGTCCAAGAACGATAATGACGTAGCCGCTAGCCGCGATAGGTGACCATGCTCCTAGTGCACTCAACCTTGTCCTCCACCTATCTCATTGAAGATCATTGATCTGGTGACTAACATGTGCGTCCACGGTACATGCCGGCATTTCGGCTCTATTTGCTATTTTCAACCTCGTACCCGCCGCGAAGCGGCGTTCTTGCTGCTAGTTTCATCTCTTTCTCTTTCATCACTTCTCTTTCATTTCTTCTCTCTCTTTTCATCTCCCTCTCATCCTCCCTTCCCCACGCATTATCCCTCACAGGAACTTTCAGCTTCAACAAGATGCCGGCAACAGCAGTCAAATTTGTGGGTCTTCCTTCTTCCCTCTGACCTACAAGCATCAGACGGCGACTGGTACTCACTCCACTGATATCGCACCTCATTACTGATGCGCTAACTCACCTTTTCATCTTGTCATCTCACCACGCTGATGTACTGACGTTGACACTGTATGCTTCTCACCTTACCGACAACTCACTTTCTCTCACTGATCTGACCGCTCGTATTCATGTAGAGTACCTTGGGCGGTTACCCTTACCCTTGATAGCAAGCTCTTTACTGACCTTTCTGACGATCTTGTTAATGTCGCGTTCTGATTTTCTTGACCTACTTGACCTACCTGACTTACCTGACCTACCTGACCTTCCTGACCCGCTATGCTTGACAATGCTGTTTGAAATGCTTTTGACTCCCTTTATCACTTACACAACTGAAGTCTATACTGAACGCTAGTCACAAATTCATCTTGCTTGATGGCTGAATTACAGAGACAACTCGACTCAACAACGACAGCAATTCGCTCTCGCTCCTGTGGACGCAGATGCGGCGTCGACTTTGACTTCAGTTGTGGAAACCACTTGCCAGAAAGTCCAAAACATCTTAGACATGACTATCCGTGATATCATTTGGAAACGGTGAGTGCTCGGTGATAGTTGATAGAGTACACGAGCTAAGCCATCAGCAACATCTTCGGTCGCGAAAATCTTGAGGTTCACAAGCCGCAATCTGAATACGGTGACAGCATTCCATCATCATTGAGTGTTGGTCGACTGAAGAAAGACCATTCGTGAGTGATACTTGGTCAACAGATCACTTGTCTGCACTTCCTTTTCCGCAGCTCTAACATACCTGCAGATGTCCAAGAGCATTTGTGGCCTTAATATACAAGCACTGACTGACGGGACAGTTCACATATCAATTGGATATTCCAGCTCTTGAATGGTACGATGGAAGCGATAACACGAGGTTATCTTCGCACTCTCAACATTGTGGTCCTTCTTGATCCCAAAGACCCAAATAGGTGAAGCTTTTACCTCATATGTGCATAACTCAATCACACATATGTGCCGCTGACGTGCAGTATTAGTGTTATTGAGGCGTACAGAAGACTTTTGTCTATTCAGCCCTAGGTGCTCCAGGTATTGCCTTTGGAGAATCGACTCCAACTTCCCCCGACATATATCGTATGATGAGAGCTGTCCAACATACTCTCATCAATGCCTGTGATGAGCTTGATCCACTACCAGGTAGGTTCTCAATTGCTGGATGTTGAGCTCTCACCACAGCTGACAATCACGATCAATCCATCTTAGTATTTGATACGGATGTGAGTGGACAAAAGAGTATCAGTGTCTTGGTGTCATCATGTATGCATTCCATAAGTTCACGCCGGTAGTTTCCATCTCCATCCTGGCCGTCATGGTACCCTGAAATAAAGTAGGCCGGTCGACTCGCCGCCCTTCTGCCTTTCGCTTTTCCTCCACATACCTCTTCCGTCCTTCAGCCTCCGCGCCCCAATCCTCTTGCACGTTTATCAGCTGCTTGATTTTTGGATCATCCGTTCGGAAAGACATCTGCTGATGTACCCATTTGGCCATTGTTTTTAGCTGTTCGTTGACGTGATCATCCTCTAATCCCAGAAACGCCCGCTTTGTGGCAATCACGCCCTTGATGACACCAAGACCTCTTCGAAGAAGATCCTTGAGGCGTTGATACTTGCGACTATGAACGAGGACACATTCAGCCAAGTCGGGTCTTCCCTTGGCGGTGAGCACATCGGCGTGTTCCAGTTCCCAACGTGAAGGGTCGTTGATACCAGCTCGACGCATATTCCACTCCCAGAAGAGACTGGGAGCTCCAAAGGCTCTGTAATGAGTTGAGAGATAGGACCTGTTGGTCAGTATTATACTGGCTTGGAGCTGTCTTATCATTCGCTAGAGCACGGTGGGACGGGGAAAGAGGATTCTAGATTGTAAGTTGTTCTTTGAGCAGGGTGATTCCTCGTGCTGTCTCGTATGGGCCAGCGAGCAGATCAAACTTGTAGATGAAGTAAGAAACAAGTGAGTGAAGGATGAACGGAGCTGCTCACCACTCTCAATCGATCAGTGCAAGAAGAATTGTTGCATCAGACGGATTTGATGTGAAGGTGGAAATCGGGGATCTCAACCTGAGACTTCCCGGCCACCGCCGTACCATGGTCCGCGCGTCCGAAGTGAGTCAAAATCCCTGTTCCGCCACATTGAGAATCCGCCACATGAGTGGCCTGCGCATGCCTAACTACTGTATAGTAGATATCATGAGGGAGATGGAGCCTACCAAGACCAAGATAGAAGTGAATCTGAAAAATGTGGAGTGAAGGGCGCTGTGGGGAAATCCTAACCTGAGGCTTCCCGTCCACGGTAGATGAATTGCTGAAGGGTGCAAGCGGTGTTCTTGTTGTGGATCTATTGGGATTCATATTGATCGAAAGGTAAACCGTTGACAGTTTACGAGAAGATTTCCGCACGGGATCAGAGATCTTCGGACGCAATATCAAATGTGATCAGTAGCTACACGATCCAAGAGAGAGAAATCTACCTCAAGAGCAGGAGGAATACATATCTACGGCAAAGTAAATAATAGGTCAACCGTAACTTGGAGGGAGCTACACTGAACCCCATTTTCCTTCCTATCACCCGTCTTTGTGAGACATCCAGCACCCTACGACGCCAAAGTCAGCCAAGGTATGCCGTCCGTCGGTCTGTTAAGGAAGAGGGACAACGACGTTGATGACAATTCTCCACATTGGCGATGTTTTCGGTACTGATCATTGGGGTCTTATTGTCATGCCCGGGTATCAAATCCGTGATCATAAATCCTCCTGAAAGGCTCAATATCAACTCTGCTAGTGAGAGCTGATCTTGCTATACTGGTTGTGACACTTACACTCCGATAATTCGCTCTCTGCGGCTACTGTCAGCAAACATGACTAGCTTAGGCTGACTGACCTGGTGAACTTGAGAGTAATTGAAATCTCACTTTCTTCTTTGGACGTTGATCTGAGGGGTTAGTACATAGCAATCCACATTGGTGGACACACCAGGGATGTTTGTTTCTTCATCTGTATCCGCAAGTCAGCAGAGAGTCTTCTTCTCCCATCTGACAAGAGCAACTCACCTGAGGAGAGTAAATATGTGACTTCCTCGTGCTCCGGATCTGAGTATCATCAATCATCTTTCTTATTGGTGTTTAGCAAAGTCAACCAACTCAAGGAAGGATCATTCTCTTCGTTGGCGGAAGGGTCGTTCTCTTCGTCTGCGGAAAGGGGAGTGGTGTCCTCCTGCAGGTCTGAGTATGTTATCAGCACTCATTCCTCTCCTTTATTATTGACAAAGTTGACAGACCAGAAGGAGGAATATCATCTTCTTCCATGGGGGCAGAGGGTACGACTTCTATAGGAGAAGAAGGATCATCTCCTTGCGTAGCTCAGCATTTATAATGACCAAGGGAGGAGACTCACCCTCAGAGTCCGGCTCATAATCACTGTCATTGTCTCCACAAATGTCAATCTCTGGTAGAGATTCTTCATCACTTGAATGAAAAATTGGTCTATATTTCTGGCTTTGTGCACTTGACCGAGAACCTTAAAAGTCAGTGTACACAAATGAATGATGACTCACTTCTTCGAATGGAAGATGACATTTTGGAAGATGGGCCAGCTTTGTGTCAGTGGTATTGAAGGAGATTGAGGGCTGTTGGGGATATTGGACTCTCCCATGATTGACATATATATATCTTCCTAGGGGGTACAAGCTTTGCCAAGATACGAGATAAGACGGTATGGAGGGTTTTGAAATACCAGAGAATGGCGGATACAACCATCTACTAGAGGGGGGAGACAATCAAAAGATAGGAGCATCGGACCATCATCAAAACAAGCGGTTTGATCCGAAAAAGAAGGAGCCACTGGTCATCTAATCTGCAGCTTGTCAAACTTGCAAGCATCAATCAGTGCCATGTACCCCACCCGCTAAGCTCGTGTGATCACTTCGTATAAGTAATATCGTGTGAAAAGAGAGGGGGACAATCAAAAGATAGGAGCATCGGACCATAATCAAAACAAGCGGTTTGATCCGAAAAAGAAGGATCCACTGGTCATCTAATCTGCAGCTTGTCAAAAATGCAAGCATCAATCAGTGCCAAGTACCCCACCAGCCAAGGTTGTGTGATCACTGCGTATGAGTAATATTGTGTGAAAAGAGATTGACAGGGGCCGGGAAAATGATGTGTGGGAAAGTGAGAGCTCTAATCACAACAAAATCTCCGATCCAGTCACTTTCATTGCTCACTTCACCGCCGTCCACACGACCGCTGAGCGAGCAAAGTTGTCTTATCCTAAGTAGAATATAGCGTGCGTGATGTTGAAAACCCACTGTCTGTTGGGCACACTGACCATCAACTGAGGAACACTCCTTACACACGGGGAATGCGAGGGAGAAGAACAAGAGCATCACAAGGGAGATGAATAAAAGCATACGACAGGCGGGGTTTTGTGGAGAGGAGCCCGGATGATTTGCCACACAGATGGTCAGAGACCTAACAATGTCAGAAATACATTCGATCTGAGAAAGACAGGATGAACACCAACTCATCCTGGCCGTGGAATGGTTGGGCGTCGTGTTCTCCATCACAAATAGAAGCTTGGTTGAAGCGAGGCGAGTCCTGACTTCTTCTACTTCTTGACTTCCTCTTCACCTCGATATGTCAGTAGGATTGCCAGGACGTCATCAAAAGGTACAGTTCCCAAGATTCTGACCAAGGAAAAGTCAATGGACGGCAATTGAGCCAAAGATTGCAGATTGCGTGGGATTTTTCCAGTCAGGCGATTGGACCATGATCGCAGATGGCTTGGGAATTTTCAATCATTCTGTGATTTAGCAATCTTTCCTGTGATTGGCATGGCCAAGCTGCGGATGGGGGATCGACAGAGACATGCATTGGCCTTGCCGTCAAGTTTCTTCTCGTCCGTCTCACCGTGAGAATGTCACCGTTTCTGATCTTGCATTGGAATGGGAGGTTCCTACTTGATGTATCATGTACCCCACGTTAGCAACAGCAATCTTACAGTCTTTGTAGTTGGCTCCTCCAGTTTTCAGCCATTGAAAGGTGAGCGCCTTGACGAGTGCACACTCCCCCTGGTCACGAGGAGGGTGTGAGAGTGGTCGATCAGTTTTCTTTCCAGAAATCTGCTCGTGCGTAAGCGCACGTAGGTATGCAGGGCCTAGGGTGGGGAAAAGCTAGGATCTGACATTGGTACGAGAATCTTGAGTGGAGAAAGACAGTGAAAATCAGAGATCCCCGGGATCCGAAAACATACAGGATCAGCATTTTCTTGGCCTTTCAGGATTGTCACCAATTGATCACTCCGGTCAATGACCGGGATTGATTGTAGGAGGTAACATCGATCAGATCAAGGAGAAAACAAGATGTAAAGACTGTGGTCGTTGGGAGATGAAAACTGGACTAGTCACCTATACAAGTAGTCTGTGATTCATGTTCATTATTCTCAAAACAGGGTCTCCAGCTACCACACCAGGACGTGGCTAATTCTCCAAGCGAGACAATGTGTGTGTGTGTGGGTGGGGGGGGGGGGGGGAGGTGGAGAGCGATCGGTACAGATGCCAAAGTCAAATGAAAGTTTCCTTATTCGAAGGGATCAAAGAAGAAGAGACAACCTCCTCTTAATAAACTTTCCTCAATGTTACAATGATTTCTGTCACGACCGGTACTTACACGAGATGAACTCTCACTAGCAGAGTTGATGTTGAGCCTTTGAGGACCGTTTATGATTGCGGGCTCGCTACCCGGCTATGGTGGTTTCTGTCCACAATCTTGGCCCTTGCTCGTGAATCTGCGTAAGTGAGCGCTAATTCATTTTGAGTGTTTACAGCCTGATGCATAAGAAAAGAAACAAAAAGACGGAAAGCAGAAGGATGAGCTGATTGAAAAGGTGCAGATCAGAGATGAGATGAAGAATAAACCATCTCACGTAACAAATCTTCCTTGGCATTACATGGTCAATCCCCATTTGGAACACAAGAGCTGTTTACTCTTGAGCTGTGTACAAACATATCATCCCATGAGCGGATCCACATTTGAAGAC